CTTTCCCTTAGAAAGAACTAAAACTAATTATCTACTATCTTGTCTCTAACATGGGTCAATACGAGAAAAATGTAAACTTTCCATATTAGAGTACCATATAATTTGCATAGAGAAAATTGTTGCTTTACTGTTTTCCAGCAAGCATAACAGTCCTGATTCAAAATGCCAGCTTATTTTACTTTTTTTAATCAGGCACAGAAACATGAAATATATCTAATACAAAAATATTGTAACATCTAACAAAAACAAAGCCAAAACACTGACAGACAACACTCTTAGTGGATAAACAGTTTACTTTTTTTACTTTAGGTATTATTCAGGCAAAATTTTGGAGGTGTTCCAAAAAATAATTAACCATTTATATGAAGAGATACAATAGCAAGAGAAGCTTCTTCGCAATTTAAACATTCCTCTTTGTTTTAATCTGCTGACTACTACCAGCAGATTAAAGACATGACATCAAAATAACACTGACATTTTTAAAGTTTCCACGTACTTTCAACTTAAAAAATGTTTTACATTAAATATATTTGAGATTATTATTTTTAGCAGTATTGCCCATTTAACAGTAAAACCGTACAAGTCCCTACATGACTGAAACAAGACTCATCAAAACCCTTGACAATAAAATAGTTAAAATGGTACGAAAACCAACTTTACTAAAACAAGCAAGGGGCTACCTATTGATATTGGTAAGAAATTTAAATCTTCCTACATGTGTCTGTAAATCAAAATAGGCTCTTCTTTCTTCCATCCGCTCTCGGTTTAAATTACTGTTGAATTCTGCAGCTTTCTTGGCAGCTTTTTTAATATATTCTGGAACTTTACTGGCTTCTACTTTCTGTGTGTTCTGCTGCTGCATTTGCTGAAATAAAAACAATTTTATCAATTCACAAACATTTCACTACCATCTTGAGAACAGCCTTTTGTTACAGTCCACATTACAGATCTGGTTAACTTCTGTGTTAATTACTTACAGAGTACTCTTTATAATGATCTGTTATTCGCTGACGTTCTTTCTCTTGCAGTATAACGGAATACTCAGCATGTTTGGCAGGATATTCTTTGATCATAAGATCAATTACTTCATCACTACGTAAAGCTGTTAGACCTAAAATAGATAAAAGCAATAATGATACCATGTGGCAAAACTAACTTTAGGTAATTTATATCCCACAATGATCAACTGTAGTTTTTGAGCAGCTGAAGGCAACCTGCTGTGCACAACACTTCTCTATCTCTCTCACGTAGGAGTGAACCTGTGCTGCTTAGCTTTCGAGGCTGATTAGGAGTTTGCTTCTACCCAAGGCACTAAGGCTCATTTCTTTTCTTGCTTACAGCTACAGACTCTGGCAAATTAACTCAGCCACCTACTCCCTTGAGGCAGAACCTTTATTCTAAGCAGGACCTGGTGAACTCTCAATTTCAGTTTTCAATATCTGCGAAGTGTTAAGTTTCATTAACTTGCAGAACCTTAACTGAAATTACAAATTTACATAACCTCTCTATATAAATCAAGAAAGAATCAGAGTGAGGGAAATTCATAGCAGCAAACTGACTCTCAACTAAAGCATCTGCATTTCACAAGTCAGAATGCCTTAGTTTGCATCTGCAATGCAGAACTTCTCCTTTAGCGGTTCCAACAAAACTAATATCCAAACATTGACAACAGAATGACGTTGACTTATGTTACTACCACTGATTATAAACTTAAAAAATAGGGAAAGTTAACTCAGTGCACATCTCTGTTGAATCTATGAGGCAGAATATAGAGTTTTACTTCTATTGAGAAAAATTAGGTACTGTTCTATCTCACATATTTATGTTTAAAAAAAAATAAAATTGAGAGAACTGTCAGGTGAGAAATGAAGGTGGTACACCAAAGACTGTTAATATATAAAATGACATCACATTTGCACAGATTCATGATACACAGAAAAAAATGTGGCAGGCATAATTGAATCTCTAAAACGCTCCAAGTCACATATATTAGCAGCGGAAGAAAAAATACTTAAAACTATTTCAACATTAACTAAAACAATGACATAATTCCATTTCAAGTACATTAAAGTGTTGTAAGATACACACTCTTCTAACATCTAAGCTGAGCCACAAGACACACCAATGTTTGCTGAGTTCCAACCAACTCAGCAAAACAAGACCAATGTACTCTTCCCTTTGAAAAATCAGTGTTTTCTTTTCTACAAGGAGAAGAGGGTGCTAAAAGTTAATTTATAACACAGAAAAGATTTTGCTAGATAGTTAGAATAGATCCAATTATTTTTTTTATAACAACTTTCTTTGTATGATACCTTGTGACCAATTTAAACAACTTAATAATAAACCAGATTTCATTTCAGTTTACATATTTTCAGTTCAGTGAAGCAATTCTTCTGTGCCAAACCAAATAAAATTTTCAGTGAGTCGTATATTTGATACTGTAACAAGGAATCTAACTTTTTTTTTTTTCTTACCTAGTGTGCACTGAGTCTCTGTGATGACATTTAGTTCTCTGAGGTAGAGTTTCTCCTTGTGAGAGAGATCTCGTCTTTCTAAATCTCCAAAGAAAAAAAAAGGAGCAGCAATAAAAATATGTGCAATTACTCAAACTCCCCCCCAAACAGTACCAAAGTATTTTGACAAATTTATTTCCTGGCAGTAAGACTCTTGTATTATGCTACTATTACTGCAATCACAATAATTTTATAAATTAATTAGAAATTTAGCATACACTGTAGGTACAAGGTCATCTTTTATTGAGTACTCTGCCTGTAGTTACAATTTACAGAAATACTGAAGAAAACTAACCTATGAGCTTAGACACAGAAAACACTACCAAGCATTGAAGGTACTATGCTTTTTCCTTTAATAAGCCTTTTAAAAACAACATCCAAGACAGAAAAAGCACATCTGACAATCTTTAATAATGAAGGCTCAAATCCTAGAACCAATTAATTTTTGCAAGTTTTTCCACAGTGTAGAAAAGTTGCTACAGTTCAGAAAAAAGAATACAGAGATATAGCTATATAGTAAGAAATCATCAACAAAATACTTAAAAATAAAATTGAGGTCAGTTTTCAAAAGGTACCTGGTGATCTAACCCCCAAATTGGACTTCTTCACACATTTTCAGTGGCAATACCAAAAAGGTCTTAAATTACTTCAAAAAGCATAGGATACATTTTCAATATGCCAGTAACAAAACCAAAAAGCACAGCACACATAAATCAGATCTGCTTTTGATACGGTCTTTTTTTAATCAGCTGGCTCATGATATAGTCAAAGGGACAGATTGTATACAAACTGTACAAAGAGAAAGATCTTCTTCTAAAAAACTTTAAAAATAAATACCTGGATATTTTCTTTTAAAGGAAGTCACACCCAAATATTCACTGACTTGCTCCTGAAGCATATAGTACTCTCCTGTTTCATCTGGTGGCCACTTGTATTCTATCAAGTTTGCAGCAGGAAAATAGCTGTATCTAAGTATAAGAACAATGTTGAAATAAATCAAAGACGTATGTATCTATTTTTAGGAGGGATACATACATTTTTAGAATTTCAATAATTCCTGTGTCAATGAACAATATCTATGAAGTTGGACAAGCACTTTAGAATACTGCATGCCATTAACCCATTTCAAAGTCACTTTGTTACACCTCACTTTACTTGTATTCCTCCAAACCAGCATTCACCAGTTTGATGAGAGACAGAACATAAAGAAAGGGATATTCATGATAGCAGATAGGATACCAGGAAAAGCAGGTACTATGCTGTCAAATTCACTCAAGAAAAATGTAACATTTTAAAAACATGTAAGCTGTGCTTCTGATTGTAAAATAGATGCAGCACATAATGTGTCATTCCAAAAGAAAATGTCTTAAAATATGCTGGGAGGAAAAGATAGCTAGCTACTAGGACACTGCCTCCATTCAGAAAGAAGTATGAAGCATATACAAACCAAAAAAGAAGAGTTATTACTTAAGCATATCAAACAATTAAATTCAGACTAGCAATAAAAAAGTGAGAATTGTAAAAAATTGTATTACCCAAGGTCCTGGCTAGAAGTTTCACAGCTCCGAGAACTGTCCCCCGAGCCCATCCGCCGTCTTTTGGATGGCTGGCTGCCGTCATTGGAATTTTCTTCTGTGTCATCCTGAAAAGAAGTCGAAGATGAGTATTTTTTTAAATTAAAGTATTTAGCAGATAATGTAAAACATCAAAAATATTGCAAAGCAATCCACAGTTTAAGTATACCTGAACTACTGACGTATTTAAGAACATTCTCTTCAAACAAATCATAGGACTATTCACATAGCAAATCCTACTCGGCTATAAACTAGCTGCATGACACATACTGGCACAGAATAGTCAGGTAGTTTCTCACTTGCTGCACAGGTAGAGCATTTACTAGACAGAGCTGTGGCTCCGACCACTAAGTTCATCATCAAGTCAACTACCTGCAGCATCAACACAGCCAGACAGCTATAGATGCAGCAAACTTCCTTCACTGGTGACAGTCAGGTACAAGACTGATTTAATCAGGCTAGTTCTCAAAAGCAACAGAAAGGGCAGAGCACAAACACCAAGTCCTTGCTGAGAGCTGATGTTCATAAAATAAAGGAAAATATTAGCAAAAGCAACAAGGGACTTTATGGATATAGAGTTAAAATAAAAGGAACAGTATATACAGTTTACAAAAAGATATGATTATAGCAAGTAACAGAGACTTGTCTTTTGTAGGGGACAAAATAATACAAAAACTGAAGTTGTATTGCAACAGATACAGAAAACAAACTTCAGTTTCAGAACAAAGCTATTAGAAGGGAAAATTTAGAAATTAAAATACAAGTGTCACTATTCATATTTCATTAAAACTACGTAAGGCGAATAAAGGGTGAAGAAAACCCTTTAAAAATAAAGTTCAGTAAAATCTAAATAACCAATGACTCCATTGGTCTTGCACTTTTCACTGCTTTGTTGTCTAATAACGTCACATAGCTCCTACCTTGTGCTCCTCGTGAATAACTCTGAAAGCATTTTGTGATCACCCATAGATGATAATTCAGAAACAGAAGGTATAAGTGTTCAAGTGAATAACTTATTGTCACCAGTAGTAGAGGCAATAACAAGAGAGCTCTAAGTAATCAAAACTCTGAAGTGGAGTAGTATGAAAGAATCACATTTCATAACTGCTATGAAAAGAATTAACCTGTCAGAAATACATGGATCAAGCCCACAATTATACCTGCATATTAAATTATGACAAAATTCATTATTAGGTCTACCTTAGCCAATATCTTTCATTCTACTATGTTTTAGATATCACATCTCTTGAAATACCATTTTAAAAGATTCTAGCAAATTGAGAACACATTGCTCTTCTTACGTAACATTTCACAGTACTATAATCAAGACAGGCCATGGGGAAAAACAACTTGTCTCCTGTATTTTTCGTATATTTGTTGTTTTTCACAACTCTTTACATTTTTTTTCTTTCTTGTGGAGCAGTAAGAACATCTTTCACCCAACAGGGGAAAAAAAAAAATAAAAAATTAAATCTAATGAAACTGTGCTTTCTTAATGCAGCTATACTTAAAAAGCTAGGTAAGTAGCACCTCCACTAGAACTGCTTCATACGGTTTCATAGTTTTGCTGAGTTTACCATGTATCAACTTAATTAGGCACAACAAGTAGCAGTCCCCAATGAAAACAGTATCTCAATAGACTACTTTGTGACACCAGTCTTATTAGCAGTTCGTCCCTACTTCCCACAGGGAATATTAATGCACTCCTAACCTTTTTCAACTATTAGGCAAAAAAAAATAAATAAAAATAACGTCCTCTATTTCTACCTTTGCTTTCATATTTGCTGAAAAATTCAGCAAAATCAATTACATAGGTTCACAGACTAAAACGCTCTAGGAAACAAGACTCTTTGTTGCAGAGGCCTTTCCAAAGAAGTGAAAACATTTGCACTGCAATCTAAGACACGCTGCAGTTCAACCACTGTTACTGTACCATAGGGATAATTAGGGACAGTCTTGTGGCTTTCTTTCCATGCAAGTCAAACATTGTCAAAAAAAGCCCCGTCTTCCGTCGAAAATGCATAGTTCTGTAAAACGCCAGTCAGCCTTTATGAAACGTTACGAGCTCCTGGTAAATTTATCAATTGTAAGATCTGCGTAATCAGCCTATATTATGTAACCAGGAAGCCTGAGTTATTAAGATGCCTCTCAAGAAGTAGCTGCCAACCCGCACCCGAGCGCGGGTGAAGAAACGGCAGAAAGTGCCTGGCGCCGCAAGCCCGGGCGGTCCCTGGGAGGCCTGCGCGAACAACCTGCCACCGGCCCCAAACTTTGCCGGGAACGAGCCTCCACCCCGCGCCCGGGAAGGCGCCCAAGTACTTTCCGGAAGGAGGACGGCTCTCGCGGGCACCCTGCGCCCGCAGACGCGCACTGAAGTTGGGCCCGGGTTGCGGAGGGCAGCCCGCTCCAC